CATCTTAGGGAGTTGTCTTCACTAGGACTCAGGATTCCAAGTTTTTTCACGTCGGACGGTTCGGAAGGCTGACATGGCGCATGCTTCATGCAGGAGTCAGTGCACATCCTCCACACCGGCCCGGCAGGGACCCATGCGCTGATCCAGGCCGGTGAACGGCAAGCAGTCCACCAGAGAGATGCAACCAACCTCTTTGAGCACGACTAGAATTGATGGCTGCTGATGGTTTTTGATTGCCATTCAAATTCCGGTGATTCTATCGTTGTAGCGAGGATGATTATATTGATGACCTATATTCTGTAGATGGGTTGTGACACTGGTGGTGGCAGTCATGATGACGGTTCCGAGGAATAGCTTCATGCGCGGAACTGTTCTCGTGGCTTTCAAGATGATCCTAATCCGTGAAGAATTATCATGAAGATGTTTCTCCCGAGGGCAAACTAACAAAGTCTCGGAGCAGAGGATCCCAACTCAATCGCAACAACCTCTCCTGGCTGAGATCTCTCCCAGACCAACCTTGTAACCATGAAATGCGTCATCATTTCGACCAGGAGCCATGAAATAGTTGTTTCATAGTTTCTGATATGGTAAACATTGTGAAAACGATTGACCGCAGGTGATCTTCGATCATTCCAGATACAACGGCCAAGACCTGCTGCAAGTCTTGGCCAGCCATGCTGAGGCGCATGGCTGTAACGATGTTGGGACCGTTCTTGACTGCTTGACTGTGGTAATTAGAGTCGAGGAGTCAAGAACTGAACTCGCCACAGTGAATTCTGGGATTGTGCAAATGGCTGGCATAGAAGTTGTTAGGCTAAAGTAAGGTTGCAGGCGCCAGATCTTGCCACTTAGAGGATTGAACTTCGAGAATTCTGCGCATGAGGCCTAAACTTGAGCCCCTGACGAATTACGAACTATCCCGTGGCTACACCTTTCCCAAGACCTGATTCAACTCTAAGCCGCTGACCCAGATAAAACGGAAACCCCCTAAGCCGCAAGCCCAGGCTTTGGAGGAGATATCGGAGAATCGGGAAGGTAATGAGCAAGATGCCGGAAAGATGATGCAGCTGAACGAGCCTCCTGGCATTCAAAGAGTTTGCACTTTCGGGCTCTATGCCCTAAAACCTTAGGCCCCTGAACCCTTAACCCCACGTCCAACCTTCAGGGTTTGGAGGTGCAGGTTTTACGGCTTTCCTTTGAGAAGTTCAGCTGGATGGTTTGAGGTTAAGGGCTCGTATGAACCTCGATTAAGATTGTCGTTTCATGTTCGGGATGCTGGGGTTTACCAGTTGCAGCTGTCATCTTCGTCGCGGCACTCGTAGTAGTAGTAGTGGAAACAATGTAGCGCGTGCAGCCTGTGGCGTGCAAATTGACATAGCCTCGCCTCCATGCCCCTCCACGTCGCTGAGGCATATCACCGTGCGTCGGATCGCGCCCCACCTGGAGGACCCCACGGCCTGGAACCTCCCGGACGTCGGGCTCTCCGAGTCGCTCCACGCGCAGATTTTCGAAAGTCCGGCGGCCGAAGTGCCCATGAAGGAAGTCTACAGAGAGATCGCCCGGCTCTTCAACAGCACCTTCGTGATCTTCATCGATCTGAGCCACCTTTTTGCTGGGGAGCCCTGCATGCTGCGCTATACTCTACATCCTGACCAGGACTTTGATGTGCAGTGGGACGAGATTCGGGCCTTAAAGAGGAATGCACAAGGGGCTGTCGTGCAACACTGGCATCTGCACCTCGACCGGCAAGAGCGGTGGGCGACATGTTTACGGTCGGCGTCTTCCCTCCTGCCTCTCTACGGTGCTCAGAAGCCGGAGTCTGCAGAAACGGAGAGCATTACCGGAGTAGCTATCACAATATCAGAGGCGCACTGCCGTTGGTTTTGGTCCCTGGTGCCCAGCATACCGTCGACCCCGAGCGACGACGGCTTCGATTGCCGGCTTGCGAGCTTCAAGTCCATGTTCGCTATGGAACTGAGCTGCAAGAGAGTGACCTGATGCCTCCGAGGCAAGGCCAGCGGCTCAACGCCCTGGGGTCTCGCAAGTCTAACAGTCTAGCAATCCAATCGGATCTTAAGATGCTGTTGGCCAGTGCATCATGCCCTGATACTGTGTAAGAAATGCTAATCTGCCAATCCTTTCATAAAACAAGTAGTATGGAATCCTATGGCTTCAAAGACGACCACAATGCCACCGAATCAAGCTAGAGCCAGGTCTGCAAGGAAGCAGGCCTTCGCAAGTCGGGAAACAAATACTGAGCAGCATTCACAGAATCCTTGTACCGCTGAGTGACAGCTGCGAACCGCAAGGGTACAGCCGTTTGCTCAAGCGTCTTTCGCTGTTTTGTGTCATGAGAATCATTCCTGTCAGCGGCGCCGACGCATAGCATTCATTGCCACATACTTCGAACAGGAACGAGTGTATGTGAGCACGGTGGCTAACTCTGGTTCCAAGTAATTGCATTCCATCCTATGCCTGAAACCTACGTTTTATAAGATCTACTTACAGACAAAAACCATATTGTAGCAACTCAATACATTTCTCTTCAGGTCACCGTTGAACGCCTAAACCCTGTAAACTTTTCGTCGGCAGGCGCACTGGGTACTTGCGGGATCGGCGTCCGTTGAGACCTCCAACTCAGCTGGGTCGAGCTGTTGAGGAGCTTGTTCCTATCCAGCATGTGTTCGATCCTAGCTTAACCCTTGACGACAGTAGGGATCTAAACCCTGAGCCCGTATGTAGGAGCCTTCAACAAGCGTAGCAGTGCTATGCTTCGCCTGCAGACCCTGCAGCTTGATCTACCCGAGCTTACCCTCACAAGAATCGCCTGTATTGAGAACCTGGAGGGCTTCAGGGCTCTTTGAGGTTCCTTTTTTTTGGTGAGGGGAGGCCCCCGTCACAACCCACCTAAATCCGAAACCTTTCAGGAGTCTCTTAGAAGCTCGTACAGTGCAACCCAGCGAAGAATTCGATGCCTGCTTGAAGCTGGGGCTTCCCGGGTTGGCACGATGCCTTTCGTGAAGCAAGAGACTTCCTGGTGAGAGTGTAGGTTCCTGAGAGCCCGATACCCCATAATTGACGAATCTGCCGCGAAGTCTAAGCGGCTTAAGCCCTATAGGGCTTAGGCTCTGGAGGCAATGCAGGGTTCAGAGAGTTCAGTGTTCAAGCAAGGCTGAATGGGGTGTCTGTGTAGGGCCGAGATCCCTAAACCCAAGAGCATGAATTTGGGTTCGTTTCTTCCGGCTTTGGATTCTTCAGGTGTTGAGAACTCTCTCCGGTGGAATTGCAGTACTTTCCTCTCTCCACGTTTTTGGCCATGCAGCCACGTTTTGGAGGATAGCTTCGCAGCTGGTTCGGGCTTAAAGCCCAGATACCTGGGGAATTTGCTGCGACATCTGATTCTGACGGCCTTGTAGACCAGCAGCTGCCTCTTTGAGGTACCGTTGTCTTTACACCTACCAAAAATCCTCAGGCGCACAGCCAACTCCCGTAGGCCTAATCCTTAAACCTCAAAAAACCTCAGACACCTAAGCCCCAATCCTGAAACGGAAATTCCTTAGACCCCAATCCTGAAACAAGCATGCTGGAAAAAACTACACACCTCAAAATCGCAAACCCAAATCTTCAAAAGTCGAAACCCTAAGGCCCCTTCACTCAAAAACTTTAACCCAAACTCTTTTCGACGGCAGGGATTCTTGTCAAGGCACTCAGAGTAGCTTTTCGGTAGGGGGAGAAGGGGGGGGGGGCAAACTGCTTCCTTCCCGACGGATCCGAGCCGACTTCGGTTGGATCTGAACCCTCAAGTTCGTCCCTTACAAAAGGGCAGCCATTGGGTCAAACATGCCTTAAAAGCCCACAAACCCTGCCTGTAGCCCCGGAAAGCCTTGCTTTGTTCGGACATGATCAGCAATTCAAGACACGTAAGCTTCTTGAGCCACAGGTACACCCAACCCAACCTCAAAACCCTATTATGCCCTAAAGGTCCGACTCTGTAAACAGGAAAATTCGCACGGGGATGAATGGTGCTTCAAGGGTTTTGTACTGCTGTTCTGAACAAGCCTGTGTCTTGGGTTGGGGATTCATGTATGGTGCAGGTTTATCAGGATTGAAGGCTTTAGGATAGAAGTTTCGAAAGTTGAAGTTTGAAAATTTAGGCTGCTAGTTTTGTGGGTTTCGGCGGGGCGGGAGAGTTCGGCTTTCGGGCTTGTGTTGATAACAGAGCTGACATAGTGTTCTGGGGTTCCAGAGGATCCAAGCAGAAACTAACCAGAGCGACGCATGGGTCGGATTCCTCGTTGAGGACTTCTCTTAGGATAGGTCTGCAACGGATTTAGGATTTAGAGTTGATGGATTTGGGTTTGCTAAGCTCTAATCCATCACCCCAAGTTTTTGCCTCCTCCGACATCGTGATGTTGACGGTTTCGACCCACGCTTTAATATATGTGAGCTCCTGACAGCACGCTCCCACGCAGAAGCAGGGCCTTTGGCTGAGAAAGCTCCGGCAGTCTTTTTGCAGTAGTTGTGCGTGGTACTGGTTCAATCAGTATTAAAGCCCTAAACGTCAAAGCCCTAAATGAAAAAACTAAACCCGGAATCGGAATCCTAAATCTCAACCCGACAGCTAAACTAAGCCCTCGAAACCTTAAACGAGTGTGCTCATGGCAAACTTGCAGTGCAGCAGGTGCACTGTCCTTTCACTTGTATCTCTAAGGGTTAGGGGTTTGAGGCCTTAGGGAGCAGGTAGTTCGAAATCAGCAGTGACGTCCAGGGTCTCCAAGCATGCATGCCGCTGCTGCAGGTACAAGCAGTCTAGATCTTTTCTGTGGGCATGGGGTCACAAGCCATGCCTGTGAAGCAAGATCCCGGCGCATTCCGCTTCAAATCCCAGTCACGACTTAAGGCTAGTGTCCCTATATAACCATACTTATCTTACCCTAAGCACCTTTACAGGCAAACGGGTGTCTTGCGCTGTCTAGCGCTAAGAGTGGCTGATGGTCTGAATGACCGGAGTCAGAGGTGCCCCTGCCACTTTGAAACTTCGGATAGTTGAGAAGGCTGGGGCTTCGAAGCTTTGGTGGGCAGTTCGATCCTCAAGTCTGGAAGTCAGCAAGGTTGGAAGGTATTGCCTGAATCTGGAGAAGTTCTCAACACACGATGCGCCCATGATCCTTAAGTCAGTAGTTGCGAGGATGATGATGATGCGGATGATGATGATGATGATGAGGAGGAGGAGGAGGATGAGGAAAAGGAATGACGTTGGTGATGATCATGATGATGATGATGATGAGGAGGAGAATGAGGAAAAGGAATGATGTTGGTGATGATGATGATGATGATGATGATGTTGATGATATTGGTGATGATGATGGTCATGGTGATGGTGATGGTGCTGATGATGATGAGGAGGAGGAGGACGACGATGATGATGATGATCATGAGGAGGATGATGATGGTGGTGGTGATGATGATGTTGGTGATGGTGATGGTGATGCTGATGCTGATGGTGATGATGATGATGATGATGCTGGTAATGACGACGATGTCATACTTGGGTGGGCGAGTGTGGGGGGAGCAGATGCGTCAGGAGGAGGATGAGGAGGATGGTATGGATGATAATCACGATGAGTCTGAGGACGAAGAGAAAGACTGCGAAGATACAGGTTCTCGACACGCAAAGGGTGCACTGCTCCTCTTGCGTTCCGGCATGGTATTCGTGCGTAGCATATTGTAGTCACCCTCGAGACGCACGCTCAGCTGAGGGGTGTGGGATGTCAGGACATTTCTTTTACTCATATCGGGATGAACCTATTCCCCAGCCTGTAGCAGAAACAGTGCAGACAGGATTGATCGCTGCTGTCCTGGCATTTCTTGCTCATGGCTTCGACGAAGGTTGCAGCTATGTCGGGCTGGCAAGTTTTGCTTTGCGACTCCGCGCAGAAACGACTTCATACGATCGGCCAGAACAACAGATACACCCACAACCATAATACGAAGAGCGACCACCCAGCAAGATGAGTTACACCAGACACAAAGCCTTGCTGCCGCGAAATATTCACGAGAAAAGCAGACAGACAACTGCCGCCACCACCACCACCACGGTGCATCGTGGAGTCCACTTCTCCGAAGCGATGCTCCTGTCGCGTAACATTGACACTGGTAAGACACTTAAATAGGTGCACCACAAAACTAGCGGCAACCACAACAGAGGCCATATTAGCAAAGATGATGCTGAGGATGGTGACAACAGGGACAAAGATGGGCATGGCGATGATGGGTCTTGTGCAAACGGACATGGTGACAATCAGCATCATGGACAGGATCAAAACTAAGATGTGACGGAGATGGTACCGGTAGGGTGCGGAGATGATGCTGACGCTCACGTTGCTGTTCATGGCGTGACTCTCGCTGGTTATGATGGTGTTGATGCTCATAACGATGATGATGGCGATCGCGATGACGATGATCACGAAGAGGCAGGTGAAGACAATTGTTGCGTTGATCTTGATGTTGTTCGTGTTGACGAAGACATTGATGATAGTGCTTGTTGTTGCTGTTGCTGAACGGTTGAAACATAGTTCTCGCTACCGGCTGACCTCATAAGCCTCGGGCCAGGTTGCCTTGCAGCAGGCCTGCTTGCCGGCGGGTGGCATGCTGGTGCGCGAACTGGCACCTTTCCAGTGCCTCTTTGCTTGAGACGAAAGCCGAAGCCGATGCAGCACTTGATTTCTGAAATGCTGGGCTCAGTCAGGACAATTTATCCTGACTCGAGACGTCGAGTAGTGGAAATCTGGTGATAATCGCTAGTTTCGCCTTGGCTGTTGGATGCAGCAGCCTAAGTTTTGTGCAGCAATGCAAGGCACGACGACAACGTCAACTTTGTCAACAACTTCTTCAACTATACTCCCGTTCGACTGCTCCGCTGGCTACAGCAACAGAGAGTTGAGCTGGTCAGATGCGAAGAAGGAGTGGTGCTGTTCCAACCAGCAAGTCGGGTGCCCATCCACTTCAACCTCTACTAGCACGGCCACTAGTCGAACGGCTTCATCAACAAGCGAAACCAGCACATCCAGCTTGACAACCACGTCAGCCTCACTTACCCGCACGTCTTCCACTGTGTCCAGCATATCAACCACTAGCACTTCTGCAAGTAACACACAGACGTCTGCCACTGCAACCGCAACAACAGCTACGATTACAACTACGACCGAGACAACAACAATGTGGTTCTTCTGCGATGTCGGCTACAGCAACTGGGAGTTGAGCTGGTCAGATGCAAAGAAGGAGTGGTGTTGTGACAAGGAACAGAAAGGATGCCCTTCAACCACAACTTCCACCGGCACCAGGACCAGCCGCACGAGCACGTTGACAAGTGCGACAACGAGCTCAACTTCCACGACAACGGCAACTTCGACTGTTAGCACGTCGACCACGCAATCTAGCACGACGACCAGCAGCAAGTCGATCTCAAGCACATCGACAAGCATTACACGCAGCTCTGTCACAGGGACTACATCGACGAGTACCGTGGCAACCACCACCATCATATCGACAATGTGGTTCGACTGTGCCGCTGGCTACAGCAACAGGGAGCTGAGCTGGTCAGACACGAAAAAACTCTGGTGTTGTTCCAACCAGCAAATTGACTGCCCGTCCACGTCCACAGTTACGACCACCGCGACCACTCGAACGGCCTCGTCAACAACAATAACCGGCACGTCCAGCTTGACAAGAACATCAACTTCAGACACCAGCACTTCTGCAAGCAGCACACAAACTTCAGTGACTTCAACAGCAACATCAGTCACGATAACAACCACCACGCAGACAACCACGATGTGGTTCGACTGCGACGTCGGGTACAGCAACTGGGAGTTGAGCTGGTCAGATGCAAAGAAGGAGTGGTGTTGTGACAAGGAGCAGAAAGGATGCCCTTCAACCACAACTTCCACGGGCACCAGGACCAGCCGCACGAGCACGTTGACAAGTGTGACACTGACCTCAACTTCCACGACAACGGCAACTTCGACCGTTAGCACGTCGACCACGCAGTCTAGCACGACGACCAGCAGCAAGTCGACCTCAAGCACCTCCACCGGTTCTACATCGACAAGCATTACGCACAGCTCCGTCACAGGTACTACGTCCACGAGTACCGTGGTAACCACCACCATCACATCGACAATGTGGTTCTTCTGTGATGTCGGATACTTTAACTGGGAGGTGAGCTGGTCAGATGCCAAGAAGGAGTGGTGTTGCGACAAGGAGCAGAAAGGATGCCCTTCAACCACAACCTCTACTGGCACTTTGACCAGTCGCACGATTTCATCAACAAGCATGACCATCACAAGTAGCTTGACAAGCACGTCCTTCACCTTTACAACGACATCGCAAACAAGCAGTTCTTCCACCGTGTCAAGCATATCGACCACTAGCACCTCAGCAAGCAGCACGCAAACATCTGTCACTGTGACCGCGACAACGGCCACTCAGACATCAACGATCTGGTTCGACTGTGACGTCGAGTACCACAACTGGGAGTTGAGCTGGTCCAGTATGAAGAAGGAATGGTGCTGCGAAAGAGAGCAGAAAGGTTGCCCTTCAACTACAACTTCCACCGGCACCAGGACCAGTCGCACGAGCACCGTGACAAGTGTGACAATGAGCTCAACTTCTACGACAACGGCAACTTCGACCGTTAGCACGTCGACCACGCAGTCTAGCACGACGACCAGCAGCAAGTCGACCTCAAGCACCTCCACCGGTTCTACATCGACAAGCATTACGCACAGCTCTGTCACAGGTACTACATCCACGATTACCGTGGGAACCACCACCATCACATCGACAATGTGGTTCTTCTGCGATGTCGGCTACAGCAACTGGGAGTTGAGCTGGTCAGATGCAAAGAAGGAGTGGTGTTGTGACAAGGAGCAGAAAGGATGCCCTTCAACCACAACCTCTACTGGCACTTTGACCAGTCGCACGGTTTCGTCAACAAGCATGACAATCACAAGTAGCTTGACAAGCACGTCCTTCACCGTTACAACGACATCGCCAACAAGCAGTTCTTCCACCGTGTCAAGCATATCGACCACTAGCACGTCAGCAAGCAGCACGCAAACATCTGTCACTGTGACCGCGACAACGGCCACTCAGACATCAACGATCTGGTTCGACTGTGACGTCGAGTACAACAACTGGGAGTTGAGCTGGTCCAGTATGAAGAAGGAATGGTGCTGTGAGAGAGAGCAGAAAGGTTGCCCTTCAACTACAACTTCCACCGGCACCAGGACCAGTCGCACGAGCACCGTGACAAGTGTGACAATGAGCTCAACTTCTACGACAACGGCAACTTCGACTGTTAGCACGTCGACCACGCAGTCTAGCACCACGACCAGCAGCAAGTCGATCTCAAGCACATCGACAAGCATTACGCACAGCTCTGTCACAGGTACTACATCCACGAGTACCGTGGTAACCACCACCATCACATCGACAATGTGGTTCTTCTGTGATGTCGGATACTTTAACTGGGAGGTGAGCTGGTCAGATGCCAAGAAGGAGTGGTGTTGTGACAAGGAGCAGAAAGGATGCCCTTCAACCACAACCTCTACTGGCACTTTGACCAGTCGCACGATTTCATCAACAAGCATGACCATCACAAGTAGCTTGACAAGCACGTCCTTTACCGTTACAACGACATCGCAAACAAGCAGTTCTTCCACCGTGTCAAGCATATCGACCACTAGCACGTCAGCAAGCAGCACGCAGACATCCGTCACTGTGACAGCAACAACAGCAACCCTCACAACTACTACCGAGACAACAACAATATACTTCTTCTGTGACATCGGCTACAGCAATTGGGAGTTGAGCTGGTCAAGCACGAAGAAGGAATGGTGCTGCGAGAGAGAGCAGAAAGGTTGCCCTTCAACTACAACTTCCACCGGCACCAGGACCAGTCGCACGAGCACCGTGACAAGTGTGACAATGAGCTCAACTTCTACGACAACGGCAACTTCGACCGTTAGCACGTCGACCACGCAGTCTAGCACGACGACCAGCAGCAAGTCGACCTCAAGCACCTCCACAGGTTCTACATCGACAAGCATTACCCACAGCTCTGTCACGGGTACCACATCCACGAGTACCGTGGTAACCACCACCATCACATCGACAGTTTGGTTCTTCTGCGATGTCGGCTATAGCGACTGGGAGTTGAGTTGGTCAGATGCCAAGAAGGAGTGGTGTTGTGACAAGGAGCAGAAAGGATGCCCTTCAACCACAACGTCGTCCAGCACAGCCACCAGTCGAACTTTCTCGTCAACGTCTAGCTCGACAGGCACATCTTCTACCCTGACGACGCTTTCGGACACTAGCACCTCTTCTAGCGTATCCAGCATTTCGACCACCAGCACTTCCGCAAGCAGCACACAGACGTTAGTGTCTTCGACAGCTACGACAACCACCGGAACAACCGTCACCGAGACGACAACGATGTACTTCTTCTGTGACATCGGCTACAGCAATTGGGAGGTGAGCTGGTCAAACTTGAAGAAGGAATGGTGCTGCGAGAGAGAGCAGAAAGGTTGCCCGCCAACCTCGACATCCACATCCACCGGAACTAGCCGTGCCTGGAACGTCCTTTAGAAAAGCATTCACTTCCAGTAGAACAGCCTTTACAGGGAAGACAGTGCAACGCAACAGTTGTTTAGGGCTCCAAGAAAAGCAAAAAGGTACTACATCCTCAAGCACCCGGACATCCGGAACGGTGACGAGTACGACCTCTTCCTCTTCGACGACCACCTCACAGACCAGCACGTCTACAAGTTTGACCACCACGAGCTCGAGCAGTAATTGGGCACAATATATACAGATATATACATAGTTTTACAGAATCGATAATTCACAGCTTACTGTTTAGATAAAGATAGAAATGTTAATTTTTGGTTTCAAGGGTTATTTGGTTGTTACACAAGGCATTCATAGGCTTTTTCTAAGGTTTTTTAGGCGGTCGCAGGAGAAGTTGTGTTACACCCAGCTGCCCAGAGCACTGGACCCGGAAGCATCGCAATCCGGTGGTTTCCTTAGAACGCTACGACTCGTCACTCGTCCAAATCCGCTCAGGCAAGTCCTCCAGCCTGACGTCCAGCACTTCAAGCACCGAAACATCAAGCAGCACCACCTCGACGCCGATCCCACAATGCACGCAACCAAGAATGCAAGGGTTTGCCGGTGTCGAAGGGTCTAGGAAACTAGGGCCGGACTAATGGGACCCCCTAACTAATGCAGCGGTCAATCCTGAATGTGCGGTTGAGTCGATTGCTTCGCGTCAGCCAGATTTTAGGGACCCCTTGTTGGTTGACCCCCCCCCTCCTATTCTCCTCAATTGAGTGTGGAGTCGCTGGGTTTTCCAATCAACTTCCAAGCCGCAGTGGATCAGGCCGCCAGTTCCTGGGTGGTGTTCCTCTGCTGGGCAGTGCGACTTCGCATGAATTTCGGGCGACGCTGGGGTTAACGGTTTACACTTGTCGATGGAGGAGTTGCATGTTCAGGGTCTAGAGTTTGACGTTTCTTGGGCTTGCCGACTTGGGAAGACAAGGCGAACGATGCAAAGCCTGCTGTCGAAATTTCCTCCCCGCCCAACCCAGCATGGAGCTTTCGACTGAGAACTGTAGAGCCGAAACCTAAACCCCAAACCCGTACCCAACTGTGCCGGAAGTTATTTCCACAGCTCAGGACACGTGCCAGGGTGGGGAAGATGGAGATCTTTGCTTGGCTGGACAGCAGGTGCAAGGGCATCTGGATTCCAAGATGCCTCCAACCCGACACGCCAAGTATCTATATGTTAAACGGCTGTCGGTGCGCAAGTGAATCTGCATTCATGGGTTCGTAACTAGGTATGTCCGGCAAGTTGAACATACTCATGTGTATGCGTGTACGTACGTATGTACGTATGTGTGTATGTATGTATGTATGTATGTATGTATGTATGTATGTATGTATGTATCTATGTATCTATGTATCTATGTATGTAGGTATGTACGCAAGTATGTATGTCTGCATGTATGTAATGCGTGTATATATATATATATATATCTTTATATACATATATATATATATACGCATACATACATGCAGATGTATGTATATACATATATAGGTATGTTTACATATATATATATATAGTTAATAGATGTTCATGTACTTACATGTGTACTGTTTTCGAGATGTGTTTACCTGGGTACGTTTATAAGTCTTTGTTTATCTTTTGGTTCGTTTTTGTAAACACACATATTCAGATACTGTTGCTTGCGCATATGCTGAGACAGATCTTTTTAGCCGATGCTTCAATTAGGAAACCAACAGGGGAAAAGTTCGGAGAAGTCATGAGAAAAGCAAAGGACGCAAGATAGGGCCAAATTGCAAGACTATTGATGTGGAAAACTCACGTCTAATACTAGGGACAGGTTAGGTTACAACAAAGAAGCAAAACTAGAAATACTGTCCGCCATTAGGACCATCATTCCAAATCTATTCAAGCATTCTAGGCTGTGGTGCTTGTGTTTCCTTATGTTAGTTGCGGTCCTTTGATGTTTTGGATTGGCAGTGTCCACTCAAAATCAAGACAACAGGAAGACGATAGGAGACAACACAAAGAATAGGACAATTTGGAAAGAATAGAGACATGGGGAACTTGTGAAATCTCTTCTATGGTTCCTCCTATTCTGCGCATTCTGTCTCCTAATATTCATTTAATTTTTCATTTTCTCCCAGAGACTCGGTTCCTAATTCGCCCACAAGGCTTGCTAGCAGGTCTTGGCAGATCCCACTCATGCCTCCTATGGAACTCCTCTTTGAATCATTTGCTTGATCTGCAGATTTAGCTGGTGTTTCCCCACACACACACACACCTGCACAATCTTCCGCGCAGACAGGCCTAGTGGCAAACCTACATACATGCACGCATAGATACATGCATATCTGAATCTGCATCCAGGTCTCTCAAGAGGGCTATGCATCATGTGCAGCTTGGCCAGTTCATTGATAAGGTTCACCAATGTCCTTTGCAGTGGGCTCCGGTCGGACCTAACTATCCGGCGGCGGTGATTGTTGTAGCTTACATCATTGCCGAGATGTTGGAAGCCCGATCACAACATCTGAGCTCCTACTGAATCCAAACTGGCCACTCTCCTTGCCTAGCCTCATTCTAGCACAGTTTATTTATACTACGGCAGATTGCTGTATGTCACCTCGAACGCACCACTATCGGAAGTCGAGCCTCTGCACACATCATGTTTCGCATAGCAGCTGGAAGCTCTTCGGCCTGAGGGTTTGTTGCTTTCGATCTAGCTTCTGATTACGTTTTACGTTGAACACAGGCCAATGCAAGCCGACAGATAATTTTCCGACGGACCTCAAACATCACCAGCGAAATATAATCTGCGCATTTCACAGCACCGGCTGCTGAATGAGCGGACGAGCGCCTTTGACGAGTACTCAGGGCGAGTCCTCCTCTGGCAAGCTGCTGTGCCCTGTTGGTTCCACCACGGCCGTCAGCACAGGCACCCGACATGGAGTAATAAATGCACAAAGCACAAAATACGCAACTTCTCGGATGTTGCTTTCATCTTGGCTAGTGCTGGGAAAAAGCGCCTTCAGCTCACTGCTCCTCCAGCACTTCGGCATTCGGATATTTTTTGTGAGGCCAAAGGTGTTTCAGAATTGGGGCCCGGTAACGTATTGCCTGAAAACTGGTGTCATGGCTGCGGCTACAGCATAAAGATGGAATCCTAAAACCAGGTGGCTCTTGGGGTGGCCGCATGGTCGCAGTGCTTGACGACTGAAGGGCTTTAAGGGGAACTGTATGCGCTCCTTGGGTTTCAGAGCAAGGTGGGGCAGCAGGGTGCGGAAAGCAGAGAGCAATATAACATACTCGGTATCTACGCTGGTGGGGTCAGGAAATGCTGGCACGGTCAGCAATGACGAAGCAACAAACAACTCCCGTGTCACACTGTGTTCTTGAAGCTTGTGGTTGGCGTGCTCGCACCAGACCATGGACGTTATCATGTTTCCGCCATAGATCCTCTCTTCCGCACTAGACCACGGATGTTATCAGGGTCCCGGCATGGATGCTTCTTTGCATTGCAAAGTCGCACTAGACCATGGACGTTGTCAGGGATATGCTGTGTTTGTAGGTAGCATGGGCACGATCACTGTGCAGAGGCATGGATGCTCTGGCCAGGTGCTTTCGCTGGTAGCATAATATCGTCCTGAGGCAATGCGTGCTGGCAAATACCAAACAACAACACCCTAGTTACACATCCTAGGTACAGGCCTTACAACCTTCGAGCCCGCAACCCTAAATTGGCGATATAGACAGGAAATGTTGAGATCCTAAGTATGAGCCCTGTAGCCTGCAACCTTCAAGCCCGCAACCCTAAAGTTTAAGTTGGCCCCAAAAGTATCAACCACCAGTGATGGGATCCGTGTAACGAGGATCCCTAAACAGGCGTCGGCAAACTTGTTAGAAGCCAAATGATACCCTGCAATACCGAAGTAGTACCTCACCAACCTCAATGAAACAGTTATGAAAACAGCAATCTGTAAAGCCATTGTAAACCCCAGTTAAGCCCGTCCTACAATCCTGCAGTCGGCCTAGCTGGAGGAGCCAGTGCTTGCCAAGTCTGCGCCACCCTGGTTGCTCAAGACTGGGGCACGCAGGGCTACAAAGTTTTCGGCCACCCGGCATTCTTTGGGGTGATAAAGGCTTGCGGGTAAGGCCCCAGACATTTTAAGCCCTAAGCCATAAAAGCTCTAAACTCTGAAAGCCTCCAACCAATAAAACCCTTGAAGCTAATGGGTTTAAGGGTTGAACGGCTTCGGGCTTTTTGCGGAGTCGGGCTTGGAGGTATGCTTTCGAAAGACTGGACGAGGAGGCTTCAGGATGTAGGGTGTCGGGTACCAAGGTTTAGGGTGTTGGGGTATTGGGTACTGTAGCCAGCTTTCAACCCCCGGCTCCTCACCGAACCCAGGTGCACCCAAGCTTTTTTTGGCAATGTCTCTCTTTGCCAGCTGTTCGCTGGTAACTACATCTTTTGTCGGCACCGAGTTTGCTATGCAACAACATGCTGTGGTTCTATGTTGCAGGGCGGACACAAGGAGACGCATAGAATGCCCGTTGGTTATAAAGCATAGCCCAGTGTGAAAACTTTTGTAGAATCCATGAGAGTCTTGCGCAAGCCAAAAGGCCATTCTTCTCTGGGCATACGCGCACCTTTCTCCCAAGACTCCCTTAGGGTATAGCCGAGTTCTAATGCCGAAGTGGTCGTCCCTACTAGTTGTTCTGCGTAACCCTAAACCCTAAAACTTATATTACATTCTAAACCCTAGGCCCTAGGCTGTTCTCAAGGAGTGGTGCAGAGATGGGTCACCAGATCTTTGCATGGCCAAAATAGGATGTGACAGTCCTGCTTTGATGCGAGTGTGTGGTGCTTCACCCTTAAATAACGCTAAGAGTAAAATCTATGGCCAGACCATACCAAGTAATACCAAGTTCATGTTTCTCCAAACCAGTGATTCAGCAGGATCACAAGCCTTTCCACGCATGTACTAGGTGACATTCGCTGGAGTCCGGCAGCGATTTGCGACTCGAGTGGCCCGAACGAGTCTACTATTGATGGCTACAGCGACGCTTGGACGATGAAAGGTTCGTTCATGTGTATCATTCTCAACTCCAAGCCGACGCTTCTGCTATCCAGAACAATGCTTGCTTTACTATCGCTGTGCCTTACACAAGCAGGTCAACAAGCAGAGCTCAGAAACTATCTTTGGAGAGCAGGCTTGCGGAAAATCGTCGGCACAAGACATGCAACATTCATCAATACTGTCCGGTTCAGTCCTGTCAAGTTCACAACTTCGCCGTAACCCCTCTGTGCCCAGAATCAGAAGCCTTCAAACCGGAAGCCGACACGCACACACACAATCACAATCACCCTGATAGTCGTTGCTTCCAAGCTCCCGCTTCGGCGAGGAATGGGTTGTTGTAGGTTCAGCTAGATACTCTTCCTGCTTGCTAAGTCTCGTGAGTTACTATGTAGGACACCTGCATGCCCCTCAATTCAGCAATGTTCGTTAAGATGTCAAGGCACGACAGTCCACACACACACACACAAGAGCAAGTACTATGAGCTATATATTGGTCACAAACATAGTGGCAGAAGCGGTGGTGCTGGTGCTTGTGCCGGTGCTGGTTGTGGTGGCGGTGGCGGTGGTGCTGCTGCTGCTGCTGCTGCTGGCCGTGGTGGTGCGGAGCGGCGGCGGCGGCGGTGGCGGTGGCGGTGGCGGTGGCGGCGGCGGCGGCGGGCGCGGTGGCGGCGGTGGCGGGTGGTGGTGGTGGTGGTGGTGGCGGCGGCGGTGGTGGTGACGATGGCAGGTTTTGGCGGGTGGTGGTGGGTGGTTGCAGTGGCGGTGGGTGCTGGGGGTGGGAGTAGTGGGTGGGGGTGCTGGGTGCTGCCGCTGCTGCCTGCTGCTGCCTGTGCCTCCTGCTGCTGCTGCTGCTGCTCCTCCTGCTGCTGCTGCTGCTGCTGCGGCTGCTGTTGCTGGCCCTGGTGGGTGGTGGTGGTGACGGCAGGGGTAGCGGTAGCAGTAATAAGTAGCGGAAGCAATAGCAGTATCAATAGCAGTAGCGCTGGCAGTAACCATTGCAGCAGCCGCCGTAGAAGCAGCAGAAGCGGCAGCAGTGGTAGCAGCATCAGTACAGCGGCAGCAGCTGCAGCAGTAATAGTAGTAGTAGTAGTAGTAGTAGTAGTAGTAGCAGTAGCAGTAGCAGCAGCAGCAGCAGCAGCAGCAGTACAGTAGCAGTCGTCGCAACAGCAGCAGCCGTGATAGCCGGCGCAATGAAGTGCATTATTTGGGGCAGCAACCCTTGCTTTGGCAAGTATTATTTTCGTAAAACAAAGCTTTCCACCAGACTTCGTGACAGGGGTTTGCTGTAGCAGTGGCACCAGTATTTGTGCATTGTTTTTGTTTATACCTAAAAAGTAAATAGCTCCCCAAGCCTTGAGGTGTGGTTTGTAGACGACTGCGGCATCAAGTTGGAGCTCGTGGGCACAGTCGCCAAGAAGCACCAGGCACTGTGATGTGTTCGCTCCATTCGACACTGAAGGTTTATGCTAAGACGTGTCGATTCAGCATGCGACTGCGCCGGGGCGGGGGGGAGGTGGGCGGGGGCAAGTTCTTGTCGTCTGGATCTCGGGCGATGATCTTCAGGCTCTGGCTGACTCCGACTCGTTGCTGCGCAGGGGTTTGTTGCAGTCATCCGAAATGCGGTGTGACCGTCAATTCCTGGCTGCGAGGTTTCATGAGATCGCGAATGTAGAGATCTTATAGCAGCTATACAATACCCGTATATGCTCCATGTGCAGAACAATGCACCTTACACTAAGTAGAACTTGGATGGAGCCCTTATAGAGCCCACAACCATTTAAAACCTGCAGACCCGATCCCTAGGAACTGGCAGCGTTGGCGCCTCAAGGGCTAAATTATCCGTTCTATAGTAGTCCAGAGGGGGTTCTCACGTTGGCGATCGGGACGGAGTCGATAGTGTGCCGATTCGGTTTGGGTCGCACAAGCTAAAAAGACTCTTCCAAGCAGTCCAGCGCCCACGGCAGACCATGAAGGGCCTTTGCTGCCCGCACTGGACGAGAGCGCTTGGTCGGCCCGGGCTTGACATTGCGTCGCGCATCAGTTCTGTCAGATGTAATGACAGGCGGGAAGCTTCGTTCAGTGGACCATGTCGAGGCGGCGTGCAAGTAATTATAGTCTCTCTCATGCAAGCTCGGGCAGCCCAGTTTTCAGAATGGATGTGTCTGTTCGCGCGATGGCGATTGCTCCCGAACCCCTGCCCGCCCACAGTCGTGCATCTCGTTCGGGCATGAGAATCCTGCATGCCGCGCCGGGTGCACAGAGTCTGAAGTGGGCCGGCCTGTCCGCCTGTCTGTGGTGCAGCTGATGCACATCGCAGGCAGCGACCTGACTGGCTAAAAGCTCGCGACGCTCGCTGCACATGGGGCTTATCAGGCGGAGTGGATGTTTGGCGCACCGATGCACCACACGATTGTGCTTCCGGCGATTTAACAACAACTGCTGCCACTCTGTAGATGTGCTATTTGCTGAAGAAAGCAGGTGTTTCTGCTTACCACACCTGCAAATGTCAGTTGTTGCAAAGGTCGTTTGACTTGAAAATTGAGAGGGGCAAATCGTCACTGGCCCGGTACGCGGCGAGGTCTGTCTCGCACTGTGTTGCACCCGTGTACCTGACAGTTGCAGGAAGCGCTGGGGCTTGCTTGCCGGGCACTGACGTGCAATGCTGCTGCCAAAGCATTCTTTACTTGAAGTTCCCACCGCCCGCCCCGAGAAAGGGTGCTGAGTGCGCTGATGCACCACGTGGATTTGCATCCCGCTGGCAAAAGCAAGCCCTTGCTTGTTTGTAAGCCAATGTTTCCGTTTGCAGGCAGACACAGCCCCTGCAAATACCTACAAATCACAACAGTTGCACATGTGGTTTGGCTTGAGTACGTTGATGCACGCATAGGTTGAGAGTCGGAAAAACCCCGCAGAAGCAGGATCCTGAGAATACCGGTCTCGAGATACGGGATGCCCTAGATGTTGAGAAGCCGAATGTTGCTCCATGATGTCATATCCAGATTTACAGGAAATTTGTTCGAACCGAAACTCCAAAACCCAAACCCCAACCGAGCCCCGTGAAACCCCTATATGCAAAGCTCGTCAAAAGCCTAGACGTTTGCTGTGAGCCCCGAGAGGATTGGTCGGAAGAACTCCTGGAATGCTACCTCGGTGTTAGAATGAGGCTTCAAGGGCTTAGGGTTTTGTGGCAAGGGTTGACGGCAGCGGTCTGGACGCAGGCGGGGGTTGATCTTGTGCATGTGTCTGAAGGACCATCCATGCTTGCGTGCGACATGCTGTTTTCTTTGTCAGCGATAAAGAAAGCTGAAACAAGGCCTAATTACGCCAGTATGCGAGAATCAAGACATGTATAATGCGTAGACAGCACGGATCTGTTTGTGCACAGCGGCCGTAACACAAACACAGTCCTAAACACTGCAACGATTTTGGTGCAGATCCGCAGCCCTGCTTTGGGTAGAAGCTTCATTACATAGGGGTATCAGCCGGTCTACAGTACTAGGGCATTTGGCTTTATCAGGACGGGTAGGTTTTGGACGCGAAAATCAAGCCCCCGCAAGCCCCGATTCCGAATGAGGGCCGTTCGAATGCACTTCCTTGAACCCGTCCTCTTAAAGAGTTTGATTCGAGCTAATATGCCAAGGAACCGTTATGAGCTCCCAAAACTTGTAAATCAAAATCCAAACACTTCTAAACAGACACTCGAGGCTGTCATTCCTCTTGGTATTCTCTGTATGCGGACGGCCTTATGGCACCTTCGGAACCTTTTCCTCAAGAAACCGTGTTTGGGGTTGCACTGTAAGTGCCGCAATCCAGGTTATCCAAACCATATCCTGGGATCCATAACCAATGTGCTAAGCCCGCGATCCTGACAGGCCCCATAAGCACCATAGAACCCCCCTGAAGCTGCACCGGACCCCCGATCCTTTAAGTACCGCCATAAACCGTAAAGACCTCAAGTCCAAAAACCGTAGACCCCTGTTGGGTGAGTCTCCTGAGCATCTGAATATGAAGTATCTTGGAGCAGTGCTTCCGGTGTAAGAAAGAGTCGCAGCAGCGCACCAATCTTCTCGAAACGACCCAGATATATCGACCCCACATGGCAGGATCCTAATTATGTGGACCCCAAAAAAGCGTTTCGTGAACCCGCAAATGTCTTCAACGGGTTCCGTGATCCTTAGACCCGAATAAAACAACAAAACCTTCAGATATAGTCCTCAACCCCAACCAAAAACCCAAACCCTGAACATGCAAGGGTTCAAGCCCGATTTAATCCCTAACTCTGAGCCCATTTGGCCTCTAAGCGCTGCATCCTACCTTTCACCCTAAAAAGGAAGCGGCTGTTTGGGATACGTTTCAAGTTTCCTTGATGGTCGTGCGAACCTACCGTAAAACCAAAACCCTAAACCAAACTCCGAAAAGCACCATAACTGTTCAGCAGTTTGTGAGTTTTGGCTCCAAGAGATGTTTGGAAGTTCGGACGGTTCAGAGGGTTTTGTCTCGTGCCTCATTGTCTTATGTTTGAGAGCTTTAGGGCCTTCGGGCTTTAGAATGTCAAGATGTCATTATCAGGGTTTAGCCTTTTGCTTTGAGGACTTATTTAGCTGTCTTGTTGTTTCGAGCTTCGAGTTTTCAGGTTAAGGGATTATGTATAGCCTCTCTGACAGACTGAAGATCTGTGATTTGGCATCGGCATACCACACATGTGACTGAGTAAATGCGCTGTTCGTTCAGAAGCTTGTTTGATGAAAACAAAAGCAAATCAAGCCAAACTCGACACTCTTGTTGATTTTGCTTGTTTTGCTTGGCTGAAATGATGCTTTCAGTCTCTTACTTTATTTCTGCGCAGATGAGCCAGCCGAAAACAGCAACAGCAAGAAGAGAATGCGGAAGTGACAATTTAAACGTATTGAAGTCTATCACATTCCCCTTGTCGCAACAGACGAATCTTCCACGAACTCACAACTCGCGAGGCTCTTTTGTAAACAAATAAGCAAAGCCTCTGCCCGAAAGAAACCACGTCCCCAAGCTACCACTGAGGCATTCCTGAGCCACTTTCGGGAGCAAGGCCCTCGTCCCTAAACCTAAACCCCAGCTCAGCCCTCGGGCCCGAATCGTAATCCTAGACCTATAGCCTCATTATCTACATCCCAGACCCATACCCTGAACACTTAAGTCTAACCCAGGCCACTATTGGCTTTGCCATTGTCCTGCTCCAGGCT